TATCAATATCTCAAACTGAAACCGGTACTACCATTATTTTTAAATTGAACGCAGACTTTTCTAAAATTGACTATTTCTAAAACTAAACATGGGTAATAAAAAATCTCTGAAACTCAACACGAGTACACTATTTTTTGAAAATAACTATTTATGAAACTGAACACGGGTACACTATTTATGAAACTAAAAATGGGTACACTATTTATGAAACTGAACACAAGTACACTATTTATGAAACTGAAAACAAATACACTATAACTGACTATTTATGAAATTGCACGGGTACACTATTTCTAAAACTAAACACGAGTACATTATTTATGAAACTGAAAACAGGTACGCTATTTATGAAACTGAACACGAGTACATTATGTCTTAAACTAACTTTATGAAAATGAATACGAGCACACTATTTTTGAAACTGACTATTTCGGACCCCTTAATAGAAAAACATTGAATTTTTTAATAATATAAAAATGGATAAAATTTCGGATTCCTTAACAAGATTAAACTAGTTAGAAAATACATAAGACCTAAGGAGAAATATGTTAGATCCACAAATATACATCAATTTGGTTGAAGGCTATACCTTAGCAGACCAAGTTGCAATTTTGTTTGCAACTTTGCATATATATACACTAGCCTTCATGCACACGCTCATGCGCGTGCAAAAAACATTTTTTGAATCACGACATGCTTTGCTTGACTTACACGTTTTATATGTATTTATATGCGTAAATTGTCAAAAGAAAAGTAAAATATTTGAAGTAAATAAATAATCTTAGATTATGCTAGAAAAAACCTCTCATAAATCAATTAAAGCAGCTAAATTCACATAATAAAATCGATCTCTATTGAATTTATATTAAGAATAGAGAAAATAATATTTAATTAACAACTGATTGAATCACATTATTGCTAGCCCATTGTGAGGCTAAGTCCACAACTCCCCTCCCCCTTAATGTAGATAATACCGTTTGTTCAACCAAAACAAAAACAAAAAAAAAAAAAAAAGCATTTGACAAATAATTTAATCACATTATTATCCACGTGTGAAAGATCTTTTTTATAACCGGCATTACAGCCTCTTAAGATGAAAATTGCATTATTTCCAACTTGGAACCTGCCACTCTTGTTCCCTAAAGACTTAAAAAGTAAACTGTATGATTTTTCCTCTATTTTAGGTCATGTGTCAATGAGGACCCCCACCATTTAGACAACCCATTTTCTGATTATTACATTTTTTTTTTGTTAATTTTAAATGATTGTCTCATTCCATAACTTCAAGACCATTCTTCAAATCAACATAACACATCAATCCGGATCCTCATATATATAAATAGTTGATTTTTACTTGTTGAAATTTGATTAGTTCAACTTTATCATCTTTTGAAATTTCTATGGAAGAATAATCCTCCGGATGCCAAAAAATCTTTTGATATAACTAATTAATACGACAATCTTCATTCCTAACTTATATTGTATGCGTGTTGACTGGTATCCTAGATCCATGAAGTTTCTTGATTCACCAAGCACCCATGCTCATCCAACTACATCCCAAACTATTGTGTTTGGTTTATGATTCACTAGCCTTCATGCACACGCTTGCATTTTTTAAATCACTGTATGCTATGCGTGAGGAGAGAAGAATCTAATTGGGCAGTGAGGAGAGAAACCAGGAAAAGGAATGGGGGAGAGTGATTTTTGGAAAGTGATTGGCTGTTTGTGTGAGGGAAAGGAAACATAGATCCCCTTTTTGTGGGATTGTTTGACCTTCAAAGTTTGTACAACCTTTAATGTACAAATCAGGTTGCTTACAGTGTTTTAGACATTGTAAATTCGTATTTGCGTGTACAAAAATACTCGTGGTTAACGTACTTTAACAAGGTGTAACTTTTTCATTACATATCCGATTCGAGTCTAACACGCGCTCACGCATTCATAACAACGAGTACAATTTAAGTACGAAACCAAGAAAAAAACAACAGTCGAAAACAACATCCACGTCATATTACACTTTTCCCCAAAAGGGTAAAAACGTCAAATTACACAAACAGAAAGGAAATTACAGTGAAAATTAGGGACGTGTTATCACAAAAAAGAAGATTATGTTTAGCCTTGTCAATAGAAGTAGAATTGATTCATACGAAATACATCCATGGGTGTACAACTACAATTTTTCAAGATCAATGGACTACATAGTTTACAGCTTTCAGGTCCATATACCACATCTTCTTCAACCATAGTCATAAAACAAGAATTGAATGATTTAATGAATTCAAGTTATACTCTTACATGAGCTTCAGAGCCAAGATTAACCGAAGTCCTAAGACTGGTCACACTATTTTCTCCAAATTCTATATGTTCTTCCACAAATCCGAGCTTTAATTTAAATAAAAGTCAAGAAAACACCTTCAACAACCAAACATCACCAAATGGGATTGCATTTCCCAATTGTCGAATTTAAAAAAAAAAAAAAAAAAAATCACATGCGGGTAAAATTTAATTAGTCATAACGAAAGAGGGAAAATAGAAAAGGATACAAAAATTTGTTGCTCTAACACCTTGTCTCTGCAAAACAAGAATCACTACACCCAAAAAAAAAAAAAAAAAACAAACAAACAATTTAATTTGATGAGCAATTAAATTTGCTGCAATTGGAGCTTGGTAATGTCGGCAAAGAAAACCACAGAAAATGGCTTCAATAAAGTAGTTGGGAGAGGGTCTATGAAACGGTGCCGTTGTGCAATGGCGCAAACGAGGTCTGGTTTGAGGTGTTTGTCGATGAATTCCTCGAATTTTTGAATTTTGTGGTGGAAGATGTCCACGAGCCCTAGATTAGACTGGATTAAAATTCGACAGCACAACCTTCTCCAACTCTAATATCCTCTTAATATCGACTTCCGTTGGCTCAGCAGTCAATATTGATCACTCCATACTGCCTCCCCTTCGAGATAGAGATGGCTGAAAATGAAGTTTGGGGATCTAATTTGTGGATTTTGCATGGGTGACAGAGATGGAGCTGCGATGTGAAATTAAAAAGAAAAAAAAATGAAAGGTTTCGAATGTCAGGAAGAAATGTGGGAAGGAGATAAAATAAATATATTAAACGGACAAAAGTTTGCAGTCATGGGTAAAATTGGAAACTCAATATTTGGGCTATTTAAATTAAACTGGTTTATTATTGGGCTTTATCTTAATCTTTAAATAAAGTTATTACATAGCTTTTGGTTAAAATTTAAAGTTTTGAAATTCTTGTTATTAGTTTTTCTTATAATATATAGTAACGTGTGGGGCTAGGGAGTGAGAGAAAGAACATTTGTTGAAAATCAAATCTCGTAGACTAAAGTAGAATAATTATGTTTTAGTTTATTATGCCACTAGACTAAAGTAGAATGATTGGGATTCAATCAAAGAAATTTCATAGCATACTAAATTTAATAATATAATTTGTGAAGATCGATGAATAAAGTAAAATTGTAAATGGGTTTAAAAAGTACGGATGAGGTTCCCCTCGGATCCTCATTGTCTGATTGTAATCGATATTGGACTGAGGTTTGAAATCTTCTCATTCCAAATGGACTCTAATTTATGACTTTCTTTGTCCCCATAATAAAGGGTTTTAGCCTTAAATTTCCTCATTCCTCATTGTCTGATTGTAACCGTTCAGAACTTGTGAAAAGGTCAGTTATAATTTTGTTTAATTAATTGTGGAACCAAAATTTAAATTTGAGATTTCTTCAGAAGGGTATATTTATATGTTTACTAAAGTGGAATGGAAGTGGAAAAAAAAAAAAGGAATTAGATTCTTTCTAAATTGATTCTGTAGTTTGATCATTTAATAACTTTTAAAGAATGAAAAAATAGGCGGAGTCCACTCAAAATCTAGTAATTATACTCATGAAAATCAAGAATTCCAATACTTAAAGGGCATGAGATTTTGACTCCAAGAGAAAGTTGCGAAATGGAGAAAAGAAGTATTCGAATTGTGTGAGATTATTAGAGTTTTTTGAAATTTATCCTAAAACTTTTATTTTTAGCCTCTGTCCTCTGAGAAGGACATTAAAAATGGAGAGCCTTCAGGGTACTTGCTTCCATTTGGAAGATGGCCCTCAGGCTAATTTCATAGCATCTGATAAATAAACTAAAATTCTAGAAACCAATTTATAATAATAATAATACTACTAATATCTCATCATCCCTTCTACTTTTACTGTAGATTCTGGAAACCAATTTAAATTCATTCATTAATTCTTGGCAGCTCCTAGTGTGGATTATATTATCAACATAAATGAACATTATTATATCTCATCATCCCTTTACTTTTAGTGTACAATGTTGTTTCACTGGTAGTCTTCTAATGGTTACATTGTTTTAGCAGTATTCAAGCTTACATCAAAGCAATATTAGCCTTTCATCTTACATCTTATAAAATGAAGACACTTGACAAAAGAGCAACATTATTATTATTTAATTTTTTTTCTTTTCTCAACCCTCATTTTGAAACTAGAAATTAGAGTAGATCTATATTTTCTCATTTGAAGGAAAGCTTCAGAAGTTGGAGTAGATTAATTTTCTCAGCTGCTCAAACATAAACAACAATACAATATATAATTATTAGTTATTAATTACCCAATAAATGTGAAGATTGACGAATAAATTAGTAGTGAAGATACCACTAAAATTGGACTGCTTGCTTCTATTTGAAAGTGCTAGGTGTAGAAACATGCAGCGCTGGGTGTACAAATGCGCTAATGACGGGTATAATGTAGCGTGTGGGCCCAGCGAATGGGAGAGAGAACATGTGCTGGAAATCAAATCCCGTCATTAGTGGAAGACAAACAAATCCGCGATTGTTGTAATTGCATTTTCTTACGGGTCCACACGACACAAGCTTTACTAGAGCACTAGCTAATACTTTACGGGTGCGTTTGTTGCACCGGACTGTCTCGGACTGGACTAGCTACAAGGACTAAGTTGGACTGGCTTAGACTAGACTAAGCTGGACTAACTTAGTGAAGCGTTTGGTGGAGTGTCGGACTAAGAAGCAGGATAATGAAAACATGATTATTCACCATATTTGTGTTTGCTTAGACTAGGATTACATTATGGTTCTATTTTAATAGCTCCAATACATGTGTCCAACGCCCTAAAATAAGATTAGTCAATTAAGAAATCATGCCCAAAGAGCTTAATCTAAGAAGTTACCTACGGCTGATTTGCAAGTTGAAATTATCCAAACTATAATTTGCATACATCCAAAATATATGAAATATGAGCTTGCTTATTTGCAAGTTGAAATTATCCAAACTAATACCCCCAAAACTGGGACAAATGCCTTGCTCCTTATGGACACGAGTCTTGATGGAGTCAAAAATGCCTCAATTTTGCATAGCAATGTAACCTAGTGTTCAACAGAGCTCTACAAGGCAATTCACAGCCAAAACATACAACAACAACAACAAAAGAAAAAAAAAAAATTCACAAAACCCAATTTTCAATCACTTCAAATTAGATTTATAGAGAGAGAGAGGTACATAGAATGTGAAAGATGAACAATTGGATCGTTGACATCACGTTTGGAAATTTAAGGTTTGCTCAAATATTACTCGTTGTTTGTTAAGTTTCTAAAGTGTATAGAACATAGAGCTACATAGAATGTGTTGCATTCCAAAAGTATATGAAGTTATATACCTGGACACTCACAAGGATACAAGGTCATCTAATTCAACAGGGAAAAAAAATTAACGACCTTTTATTCCATTAAGACCAAACTTTTAGCAAACTTTAATCGTAGCCATTTGCACATAACACCAAACTTTAATCACATAGGCTCAAGTTTAAGAACTGAAGAAAAACCTGTAGGATTAGCTCCTGCAATTTTAACAACGCTGTTGGAAACATTGATAACAAATCCAGCAGTTGCGAGACTAGAATGTTTAACAGATCCATCAAAATTCCACCAACCCTAATTCCAAATTTCCAACAATACAAACAGTTTGGTTTTTCTATAATATCACAAAAGTCATATTCACATAGATGCAATGCAGACTTTCACACATCCAAGGACTACATTCTGTCCAAATTTGATCTATGGTTTTAGGAAATATACCTTCTTCTAGACTCGAGGGTTTTGAGTCGTTTGTTACTTATTTTCCCTTAGGTTCTGAGCACTGCCCACTTCAGTTTATACTCCTCTTTTCTGCAACCAACAACCACAAAATATTGCAGTTCAGCATCAACCCCACGCAGTACAAAACATTCACATTGTAATATCATGGTTGGGCATTGATAGGACATATGGAATTGCTTCCTGCCTATCTCCAATGCCATTCAAACAAGGTGGTCCGAGGAAGGTAAAAGGAAATAAAAAGAAAATGCAGAAACAAAACCAAATAGAGGATACGAGTTTGAACATAACCACAAACCATTAAAGAGTGCATAACAAAAATTTCTTCAGCTCACATAATTTCTCATCCAAACAATTCCCAAACATCCAACCCTACATGCAATTTAATAAAATAAAAAAGAGAAGCTGGTAAAGATTCGTGAACCAAGAATATAAAAACGAAAAACCATACAAATTTATGCTAACTTAACAGAGATGGAAGTATGTGTCCCTTCTGCAAAAGAAACTTGTCGATTTTATGACCCTAATTCCAAATTTCCAACATACAAACAATTTGGTTTTTCTATAATATCACATAAGTCATATTCACAGAGATGCAACAGACTTTCACACATCCAAGGACTACGTTCTGTCCAAAATTGATCTATGGTTTTAGGAAATATACCTTCTTCTAGACTCGAGGGTTTTGAGTAGTTTGTTACTTGTTTTCCCTTAGGTTCTGAGCATTGCCCACTTCAGTTTATGCTCCTCTTTTCTGCAACCAACAACCACAGAATATTGTAGTTCAACATCAACCCCACACGGTACAAAACATTCACATTGTAATATCATGGTTGGGCATTGACAGGACATATGGAATTGCTTCCTACCTATCTCCAATGCCATTCAAACAAGGTGGTCTGAGGAAGGTAAAAGGAAATAAAAAAAATGCAGAAACAAAACCAAACAGAGGATACGAGTTTGACCATAACCACAAACCATTAAAGAGTGCATAACAAAAATTTCTTCAGCTCACATAATTTCTCATCCAAACAATTCCCAAACATTCAACCCTACATGCAATTTAATAAAATAAAAAAGAGAAACTAGTAAAGATTCTTGAACCAAGAACATGACAACGAAAAACCACACAAATTTATGCTAACATAACAGAGATGGAAGTATGTGTCCCTTCTGCAAAAGAAACTTGTCGATTTTATGGCCATGCATGGTTTCTGAGTTCAAATTTGAAAGAAAAGTTGAAATATGAAAACCCCAAATTCTAATCTCAATTTGACCTAAAAATCAAAACCCTAATTTGTTCAAGTGCAGAGGTCTATGATTCAAAATTTCTCAAACCCAAAACAATAAAATCAAATAAATCTCACTAATATCACGATCTGCAAAACAAATGACCAAATAAATTGAAGATTCGAAGTTTACCAGACAACTCGGAGCAGATGAGGGCGAGCAGATGCAGACGAGGGAAGATGTAGAGATGAGGGTGAGGAAGACGCAGAGATGAGGATGAGGAAGACGACGATGAGGGAGGGCAAGGACGACGATGAGGGAAGACGATTTTCTCTGGGCTTACGAGTCCGCCCGAAATTGAGGATCCTAGGTAAGACCTCGTAAGGAGGTGGTTAATCCGAGCGAGTCCCACCTAATCTCATTAAACCTAATCCTGCAGCAGACCAAACAAGGGACTATAGTCCAGTCCAGTCCAGTCCTCCTTAATCCTATCAAACAAACGGGCCCTACTAGACTAAAGTTGAATGATTGAGTGTTCCCATTTGTATGATTGTAATTAATCAATACTTTATTAAGTCACTAGACTAAAGTAGAATGATTGAGTCTTCCAATTTACTAGAGCTCTGGCAAACGGATGTGTCCTAATCTTAGTGATTCACTAGTTCAGACCATTGAAATTTAATCCAACGGATAAAGTTATTATAATTTTTAAAATGAACTAATATTTATAACCGTTAGATTAAATTTCAAGAATCTGAATGGATGAATTTCTAAGATTAGAACACATGGATCTAGAGAGATCCATGTCCCTAGCAAAAAATCAACTTTCAATCATTGAGACCAGCAGTAACATATTGACCGGTCTTCGTTTTCATTTTATACATGCAATTATATGTGAGTGGCTGCATATAAAGACTAGCAGGAGGAGCCAATCTTTCACTACGCAAAACCATATTCTCACTTACAAGCTTCTACTTCACTTTTGTTTTTTTTCCTGTCCCGAATCTAAGAAATGGCGGAAAGAGTTCTCTTCAACGTTGCAGGAGGGATCATTGAGAGGCTAGGCTCCCTTGCTTTCAAAGAGATTGGATTGATTTGGGGTGTCGAAGATGAGTTCCGGAAGCTTAAGGAGACAGTTGCAGGATTTCAAGCCGTTCTTCTTGACGCTGAGCAAAAGCAAGCCAACAATGAAACCAAATGGTGGCTCGACAGCGCAGAAAATGCAGTCTATGAAGCCGATGACGTGCTGGATGAGTTTAATACTGAAGCTCAACGGAGACAAATAGTGCCTGGAAATACAAAGGTACCAAAAAAGGTACGCCTCTTCTTCTCTAATTTACTCAAATCAACTTGTTTTTGGGCTATAGATGGATCATAAAATAAAAAATAAGGTTAATCTCAGTTTATTATTCTAAGATTTCGTAGTTTTTAACATTTGGTATATGATATTTTTTTGGGGCTTTTAGATCTAGGTCCAAAAATGTAGGGTGTTTTTAGGAGTGAGTCCAATTATCTAATTATATGTTTTTATTTCTTTTATACTCATTTTATATTTTCTAAAAATATTAAAAATCAATTAAAATCTTCTAATATTATGCATTTTCCAACTCCAAAAGAATATATTTAATATCTTATAACAAAAATACTAATATACTAACATAAATTTATCTACAAAACATTCTACCCTAACTCAAGTAACAAATATATGAATGTATATAATACCTATACGTGAGATATGAAACCTAATTAAAATGTAGAAAAAACATAACATACCTACAAGTAAGACACATTAATCTGTGACAGGTTGATTATAAAAAAAGAATCTGTCATATAGGTAGATAAATATAATTAACCTGTGATATAGGTTGATTATAAAAATTAAAAATAAAATCTATAAATGGGGTTTAAAGTAGGAGGAAGAACGAGAAATAACAAAAAGATAAATAAAAAGAAATAAGCAAAGAGATAATTGAGAAGAAATTTGATTTTTATAATAAATCTTATCATTGAACAGATAACTATTGATAATTAAATAATTAAATATAACAAATTGAACTTATTTTAATAAATTGGACTATTCCTACTATTGGCTCAAAAAATTGGACTTATATCAAGTTTCCCCTAAATTATAATGGCTCCAACGGCGTAAGAGAGAGAGAATGTTTTTAGTTTTTTTTTAATTTTTTAATTTTTTTTACATCCACGTGTCATCATATTAACACATAGCGTCCCGTTATTGTTCATGTGGATGTCACATCATCAATTAACAGAGATTCTGATAACTTAATGAATGTATGAGACTGTTCTAAAATTAAGACCTGAGGAATGATTTTGAAATGAAAAAAGCTTCATGTATCAAATGTTGAAAACAACTAAACTTCAGGAGTGCAAACTGATATTAACCCTAAAAGATATTACCAAGAGGCTTGGTGAGGATGCATCTCGTAGAACCCTATCAAAGTCATATCTATACCACTTATTAGGAATATAATAAGTCTCTCAGTAACTCATAATTAACTGCAAAAGTTCTCTACATTATTGTTTTGAATGTTTTATATAACTTACCATTACAAAACTCCATTAACCTAATTAATACAGTTATATCAAAATAATGTTATTTCTACTTAAATTCTTACAGGTGCTCCTTTTCTTTTCTTGCTCAAATCAACTTTTTGGGCTAAAAATGGGTCATAAGATAAAAGATATTAACAAGAGGCTTAGTGAAGTTGCTTCTCGTAGACCCAATGACTTAAAAGATAATTGTGTAGATACACAATTCATAGTGAGAGAGAGGGTCAATCACTCATTTGTTCCTAAGGAAAATATTATTATAGGGAGAGATGAAGATGTAAAGGCAATAATCCAACTTTTGTTGGGTCCTAACTCAACTGAGAATGTGTCAACCATTTCCATAGTTGGATTTGGAGGATTGGGGAAAACTGCACTTGCCCGACTCATATTCAACGATGATGTGATTCAAAATCATTTTGAGTTGAAAATATGGACATGTGTCTCTAACGTATTTGAGTTGGATATAGTTGTTAAGAAAATCCTTCAATCCGAACATAATGGGATAGAGCAGTTGCAAAATGAACTTAGGAGAAAAGTAGATGGGAAAAAGTACCTACTGGTGCTGGATGATGTGTGGAATGAGGAGCGAGAGAAATGGCTTAACTTGAAGTACTTGTTAATGGGTGGTGGAAAAGGTAGTAGAATCCTAATAACCACTCGTAGTGAAATCGTTGCGACGACATCAGACACTAAACCATACACCTTAAGGGGCTTGGATGAAAAGCAAAGTTGGTCTTTATTTAAGGAAATGGCTTTTATAGATGGAAAAGAGCTAGAGAATTCAACAATTAAGGAAGTTGGGATGGAGGTTGCAAGAAAATGTAAGGGAGTTCCACTCGCTATAAGAACGATGGGTGGGATGTTGCGCACCAAACATCATGAAATAGAATGGTTTAATATCAAAGATAGGAAACTTTCAAAAATAAGTAAAAAAGAAGATGACATTTTACCAACACTTAAACTAAGTTATGATGTGCTCCCATCACATTTGAAGCATTGTTTTGCTTATTGTAGCTTGTTCCCACCTGATTATGAGATCTCTGTACCAAGATTGATTAGACTTTGGGTGGCACAAGGGTTCATTGAGTCATGCGATGAAAACGAGTGTTTGGAGGATGTTGCGTTTGAATATTACAGGGAATTGTTGTGCAGATCGTTTTTTCAAGAAGAAAAAATAGATGAGTTTGGTATAATAAGAAGTTGTAAATTGCACGATCTCATGAATGAACTTGCAATCTTAGTGTCGGGGGTCGGAAGTGTCGTAGTTGATTTGAACCAAAAGAATTTTCATGAAAAGCTTCGTCATCTATCTTTCAATTTTGATATTGATTTGTCGAAATGGGAAGTGCCAACATCCTTGCTAAAAGCAAGCAAGATACGAACCTTTCTTTTTCTTCAACAAGCTTGGGGTGATCGTCAAAGTTCCTCACGTAATGCATTTTATACTACAATTATTTCAAATTTTAAGTTATTACGGATGTTGAGTCTCAATAACTTGAGAATTAAAAGAGTACCTAAATGTCTTAAAAAAATGAAACATTTGAGATATCTTGATCTTAGTCGTAATATGATCAAGAGACTTCCAGATTGGATAGTTGAACTTTTGAATTTGGAAACACTAGATCTGACAGCCTGTCGGAAGCTTGTGGAATTGCCTAGAGACATTAAAAAAATGATCAACTTAAGGCATCTCATCTTGGAAGGGTGTTGGGAATTGAGTGGAATGCCACGTGGAATTGGTGAATTGAATGGTGTTCGTACATTGAATAGATTTGTTTTGAGCGAAAGCAATTGTTTGGGGAGGGGCGGTAGTGCTGGTCTTGCTGAGCTGGGGACCCTTAACGAATTAAGGGGACGGTTACTTATTTATAATTTGAGGCATGTGGTGTCAGAATCAAATGTTGGTACACCTCTCAAGGACAAACAGCATCTCCATTCGTTGGAATTATTCTGGAAATATAGAGAAGATGTAAGGGGAGTTGATGAGGAGGATATTATAAAGTCAATGGAAGTATTGCAACCCCATTCTAATCTAAAGCAGTTGTTGGTGTATGAGTATAGAGGTGTGAGGTTTGCGAGTTGGTTTTCTTCTCTCATAAATATTGTTAATCTCAGATTGTATAGGTGTGAGAGATGCCAACGTCTTCCGCCCTTGGATCATTTGCCTTCCCTTAAGAAACTTGAACTTGAATGGTTGGAGAAGTTGGAGTACATATCAGAGAATGAGAGAAGTAATAGTATCAGTGATGAGATGATGAGGATCTCATTCTTTCCCTCCCTGGAGACACTCAAGATGGTATATTGCCCTGTTCTGAAGGGATGGTGGAGGGCCCACACTCATAACAGTGCTTCTTCTTCTTCATCAACTGAAATTCTGTCGTTACCCTCTTTTCCCTCTCTTTCTACATTGTCTATTGATGAGTGTCCTAATCTAACTTCCATGCCTCTGTATCCAAATTTGGAGAGAGTAGATCTTGCGAATTCCAGCTGGAAGGTGGTTGATTCCTTGCTTGTGAGAGGAGCATCTGATATTACACATGATGTTGGTGTTGATGTTTCTGCCTCTTCTTCTTCCCCTCATCTCTCCAAATTAACACATCTGACACTCAATGGAATTGAGGATTTGGAATTTATACCGTCGAAAGGGATCGCCAATCTCACGTCACTTCAGGAGCTTGTAATTAAACAATGCCCAAATTTGGCAGCACTACGGGAAGGGATCGCCAACCTCACATCACTCCAATCGCTTAGGATTAAATATTGCCCAAATTTGGCAGCACTACCGGAAGGGATCGCCAACCTCACATCACTCCAATCGCTTAAGGTTGAAGATTGCCCAAATTTGGCAGCACTACCGGAAGGGGTCGCCAACCTCACATCACTCCACTCGCTTAGGATTGAAGATTGCCCAAATTTGGTAGCACTACCGGAAGGGATCGCCAACCTCACATCACTCCAATCGCTTAGGATTGAAGATTGCCCAAATTTGGCAGCACTACCGGAAGGGATCGCCAACCTCACATCACTCCAATCGCTTTCCATTGGAAATTTTCCAAATTTGGCAGCACTACCGGAAGGGATCGCCAACCTCACATCACTCCAATCGCTTTCCATTGGAAATTTTCCAAATTTGGCAGCACTACCAGAAGAAATAAGCAATCTCACGTCATTGCGGCGTCTTCAAATTACTCATTGCTCTGATTTGGCATCACTGCCAGAAGGGATTCGTGGATTCCCCTGTTTAAATGCATTGTACATTTCTGATTGCCCCATGTTACTCCAAAGATACAAGAAAGAAACTGGTGAGGACTGGCATAAGATTGCTCGTATCCCATACGTTAGTATTGATTAAGGTGCATTTTCTAACTGTGAAATATTGAAATGCGAATCTTGTTTCTTAATTTTATTCTTCATTCATCACTACCAACATTTTATTTTCGTTTTCAGATGACATACCATATGGATCAAAGATTTCGTCCACACTTCTGCTTTCTCAATGAGCAACACCAGTTCCACAGCAAAGCGGTATGCATTCCTTATCCACTAACTTCCAACTTTTTCCCCAATTTTGACCCCATAAGAAAATGAATCATAATTTTGACCCAATAATATGCTCTTCATCGGCATCTTTTATCTATTTTCTGTTTCATCACATCTAAATTAATAATTTTGGTCCAAAAAAGGAATCTAAATTAATCAACTTATGTGGATGATTTGATGAAATTGGTTGTTCTTTTATGGTGGTATAAATAGGGTGTTCATCTAGCACTTTTTGTGATAGTGTTGTGAAGATTGTGACGGAGCAAATACTGTCATGGCCCAGGGCAGGTAAATGGACCTCAGAACAGTCTTCAACAGTTCTCTTTATTTTTACGTTTTTTTTTCTTTCACTGTTTTCTAAATACCCATCTAACTTTCTCTAATTGTCTTTTTCAGGTGCTAAACTTGATACTTGTGGATAGTGGCCCGAATACAATGAATTTGGGTATGGAAATTTGATATATATTGGATATGGAAAATACAGTGAATATTATTCGGTTATGGCTTTGAATATGGTTATAAGGATTTCCGATTTGTATCCGTCCCCGAATTCAACCTGAGTAATATATATATACATTATTCGCCAAATCCATTACCTTGAGAATACAAAAGTTGCGTTGTGTGAGTTGCATTTTGTGAGAATGTTCAAAAGTTTTGAATCAATATCAATGAGAATTCAATGGTACTAAACCAACATCATCAATATTTTGAGTTCAACACTTTAGCTTTTATATTCCATAAGATCTGTTCATTGAATCATTTCAAAATTTGAATGTATAGCTCACTATTTGGTGCTCTCTGATCTGAAGTTTTCAGTTTCTGTTGAAATTTCCTTTCTTGAAACTAACTATTGGGTAAAGTGATGAACATCCATGGGATACATTTTAAATTACGCTCTAATGTGCTTCAAACTCAATTGAACTTGGTTACCGGCTTTTCTTGATCTTAACCAAGTGATGCATGGTTCTTGAATTCTCCGGAATAATCGCTGGGATTTGTCCTTGCAGATGAAGGTTTCAATGTTTCGGTAGGGAATGCGCATGGAACACGTTGGAGTCATGAGCACACATCTTCATCAGAAGAGAATAATGTTTATGCTTTATTGTAGGATTTTTAGGATTGGAGTTGGCAGGAATTGGCTCTATTTCATCTATGAGAAATGGTGCGCTGCATGTATTTGACTTGACAACAAGCTCCAAAGTCTTTGTTGTTGGACGTTCACAGGTCTTGCACCTCTTCATCTACTTCACATCTCCTTCCCTAGCTGCTACTTTTGGTGTTTACTCAATTTATTCATGTTGTTAGGGAACAATCATGTCTTTAACTGCTCTCACCCAGCCAGATATAGCAGAACTAGTTGAAGTTGCCGCTCTTTTCTATCCAATATCGTACTTGGAGCATCACTTCTAAATTTGCACCTAGAATAGTCAACATATATATGTTGATCAGGTATTTTTTATCTTCTTCAAAGTATACAGCATGAATAGCTTCTGTAATAAAATTGATGCATATGTTCATCTTTTCAGATGATTCTGTTTACTCAATGTTATTAGATTCTATTAGTAGTAATCTTGTTATCTTCTGTACATTATATGCAGTGAATGGGGCGTCAACCTTTTGGATTCAATATGTGATGGTCATGTTGACTGCTTGGTGTGGTTGTATATGATTTTGCTTTTGATTGTCGGGGTTTAGGTACTATGTCCCCCCCGTTGTATGTTTTTTATTCAAGTAATATAATATGAGCGTGAGGGCCTAGCCCCCCAGCTTCGACTGGGTTCCAGCCCTCGTTAAATATTTCTTTTTATTATATGTTAGTGTATTGAAAAAAGCACATTTTAAGCGTTCGGCCCGAGCACCAGAAAACTCAAGGCCGGCCCTCATTTAAAGGGCGGGGAAGCATCCACCCACGCAACCTTTTTGTTTTGCAGAATATAGCTTTAGCAATTTCAGTCAATAAGGGTGTAAAATGTTGTTAAAGATAGAACCCCACGGGAAGTGTAAAGTGTGCAAGGTGCATAACCTTGTACGCTAACTTGCTCTTTCAATTTTGAAAGCTGAGAGACTGTGTTAAAAAAACAATGGGGCAGAAACAATTGAAGAATATGCTTCTACCATGGCCACTCCTTTTCTATTGAATGAACTGAACGGTTCATATTACCAAAGGGTCTTAGATCTTAAAGCTTTCCCGATCGTTGAATTGCTGCTTCCGAAAGACATAGGAAAAACTTCGTACATTAGAAACAGAGCTTGCAAGTTAAACTCTAAACCATTCCCCTCGACTGACCGAATGTGGTGATCATAGAAATGAATGCTTGGAGTTGAAGCAACTGCCTCGTGGAGTCGAACATTTTACATGTCTTCGAGAATTGCACTTATTAATTTCTCATAAGCAGATTGAGTGAAATTATACGCGCACGGAGAAGGATGCTTGGATCGTTCCAAGGTTATATGGTTTTTACTGTGTCATAATACTTGCACAAGGAAAGTATTTCTTGTAGAATGTAGTTGCAGGATTGTGTTGGAGATCAAGTGAATTAAAAACACCACCCCAAAGTAAAGCAAAGCAAAGGCCAACAGAGATCAAACAGCATAGTAAAGCAAAGCATCGATCCAAATAGGCACCGCGCATCCAAGACGGGGATTTCTCTAGTGAACAATGAAACAAAAACAGTTAGATCAATTGGTCCATAATAGTTGTGTCATCCAAAACCAGGACAAGCAAAGGGTTTTTCCACTCAGAAATAACAACATTAGAATATTCCAAGTATATAAAGAAACACAACTACCATTAGAATGACAGCGGACCGAACGTGCGTGTTCAAAGACATCCATGACATACGTACATACAGACCGACTACAGAGTGCTAAAACCCAAAGAATATAAAGAGGACAGCAACATTCCAAGTCAAGACTAGATATAAACCATCCAACAGCAGCAGGGTCCCAATCCTCAGCATCAGCAAGATCCTGTGGTCAGCGGACCAGCAGGAGGGCGAGCGGCTTTCAGAATAGAGTTCATTATTGCAGTCACCTCGCTCTTATTCGGGCAGTCCTTGATCTTGTGGTCTCAGAGCATTTTACAACAACCACAAAACATGATCCTAACAGCACGCTAACTATTTCATAGCCCTTGGGAGCCTCAGTTATGTTGTCTGGGAGGCCTACTTTGATGTAGGGGCATCTATCATTATAGTGGCCAACCACTCCGCAAACTTCACTAGGGACTGTGAATTTGAAAGGTCTAGTTGGATTCAGGCCGGGCACTATATTACTCTGTATTCTCCATCTCATCAAATCGTTCAAATACTTACTACCAAATGCTTCATGCTAATTTACGTTATACCGTGTCTGGGCCGGCTAATTTATTAGGATAACCTAAATATGTATCAATAGCTACTTTCCTACGTAAACTAGGAAATTTGTTGAGAATTATTACTACACAAGTGAAGTAACCGGGCAAATCAAACAGAATAGTCAATATACTTAATTGATTCTGAAATCAAAATCTTGCTTAGCTACAAAATTTGGTTTAAAATTCTACTCGGTAAACAGGCAAATTAAACAAAATTGCGATACCTAATTGATTGTGATATGAATCCCTAGAGCTATTAATAATTAAATGAAACAAAACAATAATTCATGCGAAATAATAATGAACACAAAAAATTAGGCATCTAGTTAATCAAATTCAAGCACCGTAACCCTAAAAACATATGGATCGAGTTAATTGAGCTGCAAATTTCGAAATTTCAGATAATCTTCTTCGTCCTCACAAACCCTAAAAACAAAAACAAACAAAATTGAAAAGCATACCAAGAGAAAAGGGAGCGGTCCGGATCTCACCTCGGAGCTTCTTCGGTCCGGCAAGGGACTTGAAATTGGACCTGTGGTGTCTTCGAGTCGGCGGTCCTCCATGGTTTGTTTGTGAGAGAGAGAGAGAGAGAGAGAGAGAGAGAGAGAGAGAGAGAATTTGGGGCTTCTGGGCAGGATGGCGCTAATTAACCGTTCACATTTAACCGATTGGATTTTACTTTAGCTCCTCCTCCGGAAGGAGTACTTGCTAAAAGGAGAACTCTGGAACTTTCTGCACGCACAAAAATTATAATCGGTTTATTTTATTTACCATCATCATCTTCTAAATATCTGCACGCACAAAAGTTATAATCGAAACCGTTTATTTTATTTACATCCATCATCATCATCTAACCATCGACGTTATAAAAATAAATTTTAATCAAAGAAGCAACACTCAGTCATAGAAAATGTATTTACTCTAGTTGGGAAATTATGTTCTTAATAGAGGTGGCTAGTGAAGAGAGAAGATGGTTCTTTTTGTTCCTTTTTACTATTTATATTAAATTGGAAAGTTTGAATTATTACCAATTATAAATTTTTAATGGATGAATTTATTCTAAAAAATAGAAACAAGACAATGTAAAGTGAATTTTGAGTTTCAAAGAGTAAAGTGGCGATTTTTGAGTTTCGGTGAGCAATGTGGGATCAAAATCGAGTTTTAGGGAGTAAAGTTATGACTTTAAGAACATAAGAAATGACAAAATCAATAGAACTAACGTAAGGCGGCGGGAGGTGGAGAGAGAAGGAATGAATGTAATACAATGTTGTTAGATATGTTAGCTTTATACATGTATCACGTCAATCATAAGTGTGCCCTAATTATGCCACAAAGTAAACGTAATATTTATTTAACGAAATACATAGAAACAAGCCAAAGTGGAGTAAATATTGAGTTTTAGGAAGTAAAGTGACGACTTTTGAGCTTCAAGTGGCAAAATAGGACAGAAATCGAGTTTCAGGAAGCAAAGTGGTGGACTTTTGAGTTTCAGAGGGCAAAGTAGGGTCAAAATCGAGTTCCAGATAACAAAGTGGCGACTTTTTAGTTGTTTTGCATTTTAGTTGAGATTCTTTGGGACAGTGTTGTGGTTGCTTATCTTATGGCTTGATTTGCCAAGGAAATATGCATAAAGTTCCTGCTCTATTAGAAAAGTATGTGATTGCTATGAGAACGGAGTATTTTAATTTGAGAAATGAATACATCATAAGAAGACCATTTCTTTTTTTTCACAAGTTGGCACTCTAATCTATAACTCCGCCTGTGTAAGTTTATCTTACGATGTCGGTTTCAGATTCGGATAAAGGATGGGGAGTGCGTCAGGTATTGCAAAACCTAGTGATATAAGGCTTGGTTTTTGTTACTAGTATTCTAAACTACGTAGCAAAGCTCACTTCTTGTTCTTGATGCCATGCAAAATGTTGTTAAGAGAGAACGCCACGGAAGGGTAAAAGTGTGCAAGATGCATGACCTTGTACGCGAACGAGTTGGAAGGCTGAGAAATTGTGTTAAAAAAAACAATGGGGCAGAAGCAATTAAACAATATGCTTCTACCATGGCCACTCCTTTTTCAATGAATCAAGTGCCATAGGGTTCGTAATACTAAAGGGTCTTAGATCTTGAAGCTTTCCCGATCGTTGAATTGCCAAATAAAATAGTCGAGCTTTATCATTTGAAGTATTTGCATTGAAAAGAACAAAAGTGAAAAGTTGCTTCCGAAAGACATTGTTGATTAGAAACAGAGCTCGCAAGTTAAACTCTAAACCATTCCGCTAGACTGACCGAATGTGGTGATCATAGAGACGAATGCTCGGAGTCAAAGCAACTGCCTCGTGGAGTCGAACATCTTACGTGTCTTCGAGAATTGCACTTATTATGTGGTTCTGATAAGCAGATTATGTGGTGCATGAATTAAAAACACGCCGAAACGAACACCGTACCAGCAAAGCAAAGGCCAACAGAACAGAGAGATGAAACAGCGATATCGATTAGGCAGGCAAAGCTAAGGAACAGCTGCAAACCACAGCATCAATCCAGCGAATCCAAGACGGGGCCTTTCTCTAGAGCACAAGGAATTGAATTTGCAGAACGGAACAAAAACAGTTGGTTCATTAATGTTTCATTAATGTCCAAGTTAATGTCCAATTTGCAGAACGGAACAAAAACAGGATCCATCCCTTCTTGTTTCATTAATGTCCAAGTTAGTTGTGTGCCATCCAAAACCAGGACAAGCATGGGGTTTTTCCACTCAGAAATAACAAGATTAGAATATTCCAAGCATATAGTGAATAAAACTAACATTAGAATGACGGCAGACGGAACGTGCTTGTTCAAAGACATACATGACATACGTACATACAGACCGACTACAGAGTGCTCGAACCCAACAAAAATACGGAGGACTGCAACATTCCAAAACAAGACTAGATATAATCATCCAACAGCAGCAGCATCCCAATCCTGAGCATCAGCAAGATCAGGAGGTGAGAGGACCTGCAGGAGGGGCCTTCCGAAGGGAGTTTCTTCGTGCAATGATTTTGCTCTTATGCGGGCAGTCATCGTTCTGATGGTCAGCACCGATATGACAATAACCACATAGCATACTTTCAGCATGCCTCTTACCACGGAAGGTAACTATTTCATAGCCCTTGCCAACCTCAGTTACATTGTTTGGAACACGTATCATGTAGGGGCAATCATCATTAAAGTGGCCAACCACCCCGCAAACTTTACAAGGGATTGTGAATTTGAAAGGTCTAGTAAATACGACTGCTCTGTACATTTTCCTCTCTTCTGGTTTTGTTGTAGTAGTATTCTCCTCGTTAAGTTGGAGTTGAGCCATACCCTCTTGAACAACATTTTCATTTTTGAGTTGAGTTGGAGAGTCTTTAACAGCCGTTTTCTTCATATCTGTGTGTTTGAGGAAATGTAGATAGAGATACATTTTTCAGAAGATGTAGATAGAGATATGAATACATATATACAAGTATTGTGTGTGAATCAGCTAAGTAAGTCATCTGTAGCCAGGCCGGGCACTATATTGCTCTGTATTCTCCAGCTCATTAGATCATCAAATACTTACTGCTAATGCTTCATGCTAAATTACGTTCTACTGTATATGGGCCGCATAATTTGTTAGGATAACCTAAATATGTATATCTATATATATATATATATATATATATATAGCTACTTGAAAGTCCTACGTAAAGTAGGATAACCTTAATTCTACACAGGTAAAGTAACGGGGCAAATCAAACAGAATTGCGAATCTACTTAATTAATTGTGAAACCAAAATCTTGTCTAGCTACAAAATTTGGTTTAAAATTCTACTCAGTAACCAGGAAAATTAAACAAAATTGAGATACTTAATTCATCCTGCCATGAATCCCGAGAGCTATTAATAATTAAATGAAACAAAAAAAATAATACATGGGAATTATTATGAACACAAAAAATTAGGCATCACGTCAATTAAATTCAAGGACCGTAACCCTAAAAACATATGCAGATTGAAAACAGAATTGCGAATCTACTTAATTGATTGTGAAACCAAAATCTTGTCTAGCTACAAAATTTGGTTTAAAATTCTACTCAGTAACCAGGAAAATTAAACAAAATTGAGATACCTAATTGATCCTGACATGAATCCCGAGAGCTATTAATAATTAAATGAAACCAAAATAAAAATAATACATGGGAATCAGCTAAGTAAGCCATCTGTACTCAAGCCGAGCACTATACTGCTCTGTATTCTGCATCTCATTAGATCATCAAATACTTACTGCTAATGCTCCATGCTAAATTACGTTCTACTGTATCTGGGCCGTATAATTTGTTAGGATAACCTAAAAATATGTGTATATATATATATATATATAGCTACTTGAAAGTCCTACGTAAAGTAGGAAATTTGTTGAGTTAATTCTACACAAGTAGTAATGGGGCAAATCAAACAGAATTGCGAATGTACTTAATTGATTGTGAAACCAAAATCTTGTCTAGCTACAAAATTTGGTTTAAAATTCTACTCAGTAACCAGGAAAATTAAACAAAATCGAGATACCTAATTGATCCTGACATGAATCCCGAGAGATATTAATAATTAAATGAAACAAAAAATATAATACATGGGAATTATTATGAACACAAAAAATTAGGCATCACGTCAATTAAATTCAAGGACCGTAACCCTAAAAACATATGCAGATTGAAAACAGAGCCCAATTAATTAAGCTGCAAATTCGGAATTACAGATAACCTTCTTCTTCCTCAGAGACCCTAAAAACAAACACAAACAAAATTGAAAAGCATAGCAAGAGATAGGAGTCCGAATCTCACCTCGGAGTTTCTTCGGTCCGGCGAGGGACTTGAAATTGGATCTGGTGACTTCGAGTCGGCGGTCCCCCATGGTTTTGATTGAGAGAGAAAGAGAGAGGCGAGCGAATTTGGGGCTTCTGGGGAGGAGGGCGCCAATTGCGGGTTTTTATATACCTTACCTTTTCCTTTATTTGACCATAATGCCCTTCTCATTTAACCGATTGGCTGTCCGTGGTGCATGGTCATACAAATGCCAGATCAATTCATATCAGACCATGTCTAACATTTAGACTAAAATCTAAAATTTTTAATCCACAAAATATAAGTTTTAACTCAGAAATAGTTTTTCTTCTCCAACTTTAAAAGGTTAAATTTTTAGCCCTAAATTATTAAAGAATGAATTTAGAATAATTTTTTTCTTAAAATAACTTTTAATATTTAAATTCCGATAAATATTGAAAAATTATTAAACCGATATCATGAAACTCGTGAAACACTACAAAAGAATATGAAACATAAATTTTTTTTAATTACTTTAGCCGTTAGATTTTTTTTACCGTTAGATTTAATTAAATTATATCTTAATCATCGAATTCAATGAATTTATAAATCTAAAACTAAAAAATATATACATATACGGTGGGCTAGCCCCATTAACTCAGAGGAGAATCCTGGGCTAAATTTGCCCCAAAATTAAGTTTTGAGTTTTAACTCATATTTGCCTAAGGGTTGGAGCAAGTTAGGGTAAGTTTAAAACCTAAAATTTGAGTTTTACTCCAAGGGTTGGAGTAGATCTCAGGAAGCGATATTCAATCTGTGGGGATATAGTCCGTTATATTAACTTTTATTTTAGTCAATTATCCAGATCTCAGCTGTTCAGTGAGCTGCCCAGTTCGGAAATGTCAAACTCACCAAGAATGAAGATGCTACAGCAAGTAGCTGCCAGCAACTTAGAGAAAGTTGGCAAACATTGCAAGACATTGACCTAACATCCCCAACACATTGAACGGTAAGCTTCATGCTTCAACTGGTAACCCAAACTACTATCGTTACATGCAACGCTAAAATCACCAGGGACCAATATCTAGATTTATCAAATACAACGCAAGTAATTCGGGTTTCACTGCCGACTAGTTTTGGGAAATTTCATTCCCAGTTCAATGTTACTTCACACAAACAGTTTGGACCAAGAATACCTCCATTGTTATTATTTGGGCGATTTGCACCAAAATTGCGATTCTGATTGAAACGATTGCAATTCTGAGAGTAATTGCGATTCTTATTCTAGTATCTACCTTTAAAATTACCTCGGAATGTGTTGGAATTAGAAGATCCGTGCTGAGCAGCATAAGCATGAAATGGAGCAGATGTAGAGGAGGAAGAGTTTTGCGTTTCTGAAGAGAAATCTCTTTACTGAGGAGAAGTCCATGGAGTTCATCGCCATTAACAGACTCAGTCCGGGAGTCCAGCAAGAATATAAGCCACAAGATCAGAATAAGAGATTGGTTCTCCGGCAGCAGTAAGTTTATCAGAAATCTCCTTAATAGAGTTAAGATAATCGGTCATGGAAGCATCACCTTTCTGGATGGTCTGGATTTTAGAGCGGAGACTGTGAACATGAGAGCGCGAAGCTCCGGCAAAGCGGCGTTCAAGAGATTGCCACAAAGAACGAGAATCTTCCAATCCAATAGTCAGAGGAAGAAGATCTTCAGCCAGAGTGGAGTTGATCCAGATCGTCAAGATTTGATCTCGTTCACACCACAGTTCATATGCAGGATTGAGAATTTGAGATCCAGAGGACTCATGAACAAATTGAGGAGGACAGAGATCGTCGCCATTGATAAGCCCTAAAAGCTTGAACCGTTTCAGAACGGGAAGAAACAAGTTGCGCCAAGTGATGTAGTTCTGACGATTGAGTTTTGTTGGAACCATTCCAGCAATATTTTGTACGATGATCATCGCAATCGATAGAGGTACAGTATTAGAGATCTCGCCAAGAGGAGTGGGACCAGAAGATGTAGCAGGATAAGTAGAATCAGAGGAATTCAGATTAGTCGCCATAGAAATTGCAAACAAATTGCACAAGAGAGAGAAGAGAAATTAGGTAAGATCTGTTTGGGAGATGAGAAAATGGTAGAAATCAAGAAACGGGAAGTGGAGGATCGACGTTGGTGGACTCAGGCGAAGATACCATGTAGAAGTGCATGTATCTGTGTAAATAGAATTGGGGGAGAGAGAGGGAGAGAGAGAGAGAGATTGCCAAAGATTGTGGTTGAAGAAAAATGATTCTCATTAACTGTAATTGCAGATTACAAGGGATATATATGTATCCATAAATATCTATTCCAATGCTAAGTCAGCATCAACACAAAACTAACTGTAACAACCTTAGCTTGACAGCTAAGCTAAGTACTAATCTAGTGCCTAATGCTCATGATACTTCACCATCCTTAATAAGCTTTCCCGATCGTTGAATTGCCAAATAAAATAGTCGAGCGTAATCATTTGAAGTATTTGCATTTGAAAAGAACAAAAGTGAAAAGCTGCTTCCGAAAGACATGGGAAAGCTTTGTAGATTAGAAACAGAGCTCGCAAGTTAAACTCTAAACCATTCCGCTCGACTGACCGAACGTGGTGATCATAGAGATGAATGCTCGGAGTCGAAGCAACTGCCTCGTGGAGTCGAACATCTTACATGTCTTGGAGAATTGCACTTATTATGTGGTTCTGATAAGCAGATTATGTGGTGCATGCATTAAAAACACGCCGAAACGAACACCGTACCAGCAAAGCAAAGGCCAACAGAACAGAGAGATGAAACAGCGATATCGATTAGGCAGGCAAAGCTAAGAAAAGGCCAGACAGCTGCAAACCACAGCATCTATCCGATTTAGAGCAGAAAAAATTACAATCAAACTCAAGGAAACTAGAAATAAAATGCATAAGGAGAATCATCATACGAGATTCCACTGATTCCATAGCTAGAGCAAAAGGTACAACGCTGGATCAAAAATTACGAAGCTAGAGCAAAAAATACGAATTTTATTTTTGAAGGGGGAGAGGCGGAAAGACTGAGCGGCTTCAAATAAATAACAAGCATTTTGACGGCTGATTATTTCAAACGGGCCAGAATCCAAAAAAGTTTTAAATAAACTATTTCAAACGGCCCAGAATCTTGAGTATTGGGCCGGACCAAACAGCTGCAATAGCCACTTAAAACTTAAGAGAAAATAAAATTTCAAAACGAAAGAAAAAAGAATTTAAATATTTAAAAAAAAAACAAAAAACCAAAAAACAAAAAGAGACTGAATCTAAAATTTATAGCTGGGAAAATTTGAAGGTGGCCGGAATTGATTGAAAATTACGCATTGGCCGCCCCAAATAGCATCAATAGTCACCATAACAAAGAAAGGTGAAATGTTAAGATTAAGGAGGGTATTCAATTGAAATTTTTTCATTCAATTCCCGCAAAATTTCGGAGAGGAGATTTTAGAATACTTAAATTGCATTATGAAGTCTCTTAAATTCTTTCAAGGTCCTTACTTTTTAAGGAGAATAGAGAATGGAAAAGGTGAATAGTATTTTGGTGTCACCAAACTTCAACAAAAATATTTAGACAAAAATACAGATCGACTAAGAGTGCTCAACCCAACGAAAATACGGAGGACAGCAACATTCCAAGACAAGAGTAGATATAATCCTCCAACAGCAGCAGCATGCCAATCCTGAGCATCAGCAAGATCAGGAGGTGAGAGGACCTGCAGGAGAGGCCTTCCGAAGGGAGTTTCTTCGTGCAATGATTTTGCTCTTATGCGGGCAGTCATCGTTCTGATGGTCAGCACCGATATGACAATAACCACATACCATACTTTCAGCATGCCTCTTACCACGGAAGGTAACTATTTCATAGCCCTTGCCAACCTCAGTTACATTGTTTGGAACACGTATCATGTAGGGGCAATCATCATTCAAGTGGCCAACCACTCCGCAAACTTTACAAGGGATTGTGAATTTGATAGGTCTAGTAAATACGACTGCTCTGTGCATTTTCCTCTCTTCTGGTTTTGGTGTAGTAGTATTCTCCTCGTTAAGTTGGAGTTGAGCCATACCCTCTTGAACAACATTTTCATTTTTGAGTTGAGTTGGAGAGTCTTTAACCGCCGTTTTCTTCATATCTGTGTGTTTGAGGAAATGTAGATAGAGATACATTTTTCAGAAGATGTAGATAGAGATATTAATACATATATACAAGTATTGTGTGTGAATCAGCTAAGTAAGCCATCTGTATTTTCCTTCTCATTAGATCATCAAATACTTACTGCTAATGCTTCGTGCTAAATTACGTTCTACTGTATCTAATTTGTTAGGATAACCTAAGTATGTATATATATAGCTACTTGAAAGTCCTGCGTAAAGTAGGAAATTTGTTGAGTTAATTCGACACAAGTAAAGTAATGGGGCAAATCAAACAGAATTGCGAATCTACTTAATTGATTGTCAAACCAAAATCTTGTCTGGCTACAAAATTTGGTTTAAAATTCTACTCAGTAACTAGGAAAATTAAACAAAATTGAGATACCTCATTGATCCTGACATGAATCCCGAGAGCTATTAATAATTAAATGAAACAAAAAAAATAATACATGTGAATTATTATGAACACAAAAAATTAGGCATCGCGTCAATTAAATTCAAGGACCGTAACCCTAAAAACATATGCAGATTGAAAACAGAGCCCAATTAATTAAGCTGCAAATTCGGAATTACAGATAGTCTTCTTCTTCCTCGGAGACCCTAAAACAAAACACAAACAAAATTGAAAAGCATAGCAAGAGATAGGAATCCGGATCTCACCTCGGAGTTTCTTCGGTCCGGCGACGGACTTGAAATTGGACCTGGTGACTTCGAGTCGGCGGTCCTCCATGGTTTTGATTGAGAGAGAACGAGAGAGGCGAGCGAATTTGGGGCTTCCGGATTCTGATCCTGGTCCGGCTACTCGGCGGCTCATGGTTTTGTCAGAGAGAGAGAGAGATTTTATTGGGACGAAAAGAGAGAGATTGGATGAATTAAGTTTGAGGATTTTGCGATTTTGGCGGGGGCTAGTTTAGTTTAGGTGGTATATATATAGACCATATTTTCCTGCGATTTGACCGTAATACCCTTCACGTTCAACCAATTTACCGTCGTGTCGTGGGTTAAAGTCGGCGCACTCGGTACGTCCTGGAAACAGTTTGATTTGATTTCAATCAACAAACTCATCCAACAAGATATGTTTTGCTCAGTTCTTAAACGTCTCAACTCTCACTTTTATTCATTTCTGCCATCCAACGACTTGATCTTTACATTTCTGCTTCGATACGAAGCAGTATATGACACCATCCTAGCTTTGTTCGAAAAGCTTTTAAAGAACACGATCTTAGGTGAGCAATGCTTATCGAAAATTCTCTCTCTTATTTTTCTAGTACAAAATTGTCTTACTCCATGATGTGTCACATTGCGTGACGTGAATGGATAATTGATTCACACGACGTTCAGTAGCCACCTCTATTAAGAACATAAGAACATAAAAACACAAGAAATATCAATGGAACTAATGTAAGGCGGCGAGAGGTGGAGAGAAAAGGAATGAATGTAACACAATGTTGTTAGATATGTTAGCTTTATACTTGTATCATGTCAATCATAAGTGCGCCCTAATTATGCTACAAAGTAAACGGGCGTTTGTTGCGCCGGACTATCTCGGACTGGATTAGCTTCAAGGACTAAACTGGACTGGCTTAGACTAGACTAAACTGGACTAACTTAGTGAAGCGTTTGGTACAGTATTGGACTAAGAAGCTGGACAATAACAAATTCTAATATTATATTGTTTAATATATAAATTATTAATATTTTATTATGATCTTATCTTTTTCTCCATCTTTTCCTACCATTTCCGTCCCACTCTCTTCCTCTTCTCTCAATTCTTCGTCCCACCCTCTCCCTCTTTTTTTCCTATCAGACCTCTCAATTCATGTCTCTTTCTCATTTTTGGTCAAACTCCTTATCGATTCCAGTCTCTATTTCTCTGTCCTCCCTCCTTCTCTAGCTATGCGTTGTTCGAACGGAACCTCACGGCTCCAATTTTCCTGACGAGTTGCAAGTTTCCCAATGTGTTTTCCAGCCAACCCTTGTTAAATTGGATGAAGTTAACACCGTCAAAAAATTCATCACCATCCCTGGACCGAGATCTTAGCTTTGCATGCTCGAATCTGTCATGGATTTGAAGAAGCCCAAACAGGCTGAGACTTCTAGGCCATTTTTCGGCCACATTCGACCATATTTTGGCCTTGATTCAGGTAGAATCGTAATCTTGTCACTCCCAGCTTCAATTTTGTATATTTTATATGAAAGTTGGTTGTGAAATGGATTTGAAAGAGAGTCGGAAAGTTAATGATTGATCTCGGTGACCGGAGATGACGAGGAGTCTGTCGGGAGTGGTCGTTGAGCATGACGAGGACGAGAAAGAGAGGATAGTCTTAGCTAGTCCCATGGTTATTGGGGGGTCTCGCTAAGACCTCTTAGTGAAGGGTTTTGTCCATGCTAGTCCCCTTTAGTCTCATTAATGTTAGTCCCAGCATGGAACAAACACAGTATTGGACTAATAGCTAGTCCAGTCCAGTCCAGTCCGACTTAGTGAGGGCAAACAAACACCCCCTTAATGTTTATTTAACGAAATACATATAAACAAGTCAAAGTGGAGTAAATATTGAGTTTCAGAAAGTAAAGTGACAACTTTTGAGCTTTAGATGGCAAAATAGGACAGAAATCGAGTTTCAGGGGGCAAAGTGGTGACTTTTGAGTTCCAGATAACAAGGTGGCGACTTTGTAGTTGTTTTGCATTTTAGTTGAGATTCTTTGGGATAGTGTTGTGGTTGTTTATCTTATGGCTTGATTTGCCAAGGAAATATATTCATATAAGACATAAAGTTCCTGCTTTATTGGAAAAGTACGTGATTGCTATGAGAATGGAGTATTTTAATTTGAGAAATAAATACATCATAAGAAGATCATTTCTTTTTTTGACAAGTTGGCATTCTAATCTATAACTCTGCATGTGTAAGTTTATCTTACAATTTCGGTTCTAGATTCGGATAAAGGATGGGGAGTGCGTCAGGTATTGCAAAGCCCTAGTGATATAAGGCTTGGTTATTGTGGTTGGTATTCTAAACTACGTAGCAAAGCTCACTCCTTGATGCCATGCAAAAAGTTGTTAAGAGAGAACGCCACGGAAGGGTAAAAGTGTGCAAGATGCATGACCTTGTACGCGAACAAGTTGGAAGGCTGAGAAATTGTGTTAAAAAAACAATGGGGCAGAAGCAATTAAGCAATATGCTTCTACCATGGCCACTCCTTTTTCAATGAATCAAGTGCCATTAGGGTTCGTATTACTAAAGAGTCTTAGATCTTGAAGCTTTCCCGATCGTTGAATTGCCAAATAAAATAGTCGGGCGTTATCATTTGAAGTATTTGCATTGAAAAGAACAAAAGTGAAAAGCTGCTTCCGAAAGACATAGGAAAGCTTTGTAGATTGGAAACAGAGCTCGCAAGTTAAACTCTAAACCATTCCGCTCGACTGACCGAATGTGGTGATCATAGAGACGAATGCTCGGAGTCGAAGCAACTGCCTCGTGGAGTCGAACATCTAACTGAAATTTACGGCTCAAATTTTCATGTACCTCATATTCTGAATAAATAGTACATACAATCCTTGTTACAAAGGAAATAAAATAAAGGACACAATATCCTTCCTAAAACATGACTCTAATAATTACAAGATATTTACATTCCTTTTCTTCTAAATATGGACTTATTCCAATACTCCCCCTCAAGTTGGAGCATAGATATTACTCATGCCCAACTTGACAAGTGAATTAGCAAATCTTCTACTACACACGGCATGGGTAAGGATATCTGCAAGTTGTTCTTCTGAGTTCGCAAATGGTATTGACATAATCTTTTTCTCCTAGCTTTTCTTTGATAAAATGTCTATCAACCTCAACATGCTTAGTCATGTCATGCTGTACTGGATTCTCGGCTATTTACCTAGCGGACTTATTATCACAATACAACTTCACTGCCTGCTTTTGCTTAAAACCAAGACTCCAAAGTAACTTTCGTAGCCAAAGAATCTCACACACACCATGTGCCATACCCTTATACTCAGCTTCGGCAGAAGACCATGATACCACATTCTGCTTCTTGCTTCGCCACGTAACCAAATTACCTCCAACTAAAGTAAAATACCCAGATGTAGACCGTCTATTAGTCACATCACGTGCCCAATTAGCATCAGTAAATCCCTTAATCCTCATATGTCCATGACATTCATACAAAATTCCTTTACCAGGGGCAGACTTCAAATATGCCAAGATTCTCATTACTGCCACCATATGATCCACACTTGGTGACTGCATAAACTGACTAACCACACTTACGACATAGGCAATATCTGGACGAGTGTAAGAAGGATAAATCAGCCTCCTCACTAGTCTTTGATATCTATCTCTGTCAACCGGTTCCTGATCTGGATAAATCCCCAAATAATGTTTCTCTACGATAGGAGTGTCCACAGACTTACATCCCAGCATTCATGTTTCCTCTAATAAATCCAGAACATATTTACATTGAGACAAGAAAATACCTCTAGATGACCGAGCAACTTTCACGCCAAGAAAATATTTCAAATCTCCCAAATTCTTCATCTCGAACTCGGCGGCAAGATTTTGTTCTAGCTTCCTCATCTCTTCCGAATCATCACTTGTTATTATCATGTCATCCACATAAATAATTAAGGCTATTACTTTACCACTTCCCTGTTTCACAAATAATGTATGATCCGAATGACTTTGATAATACCCAATCCGCCTCATAATTTGGGTAAATCTACCAAACTACGCACGAGGTGATTGCTTAAGTCCGTAGAGTGACTTTCGCAACCTACATACTTCGGTTTTCCCTCGGCATTGTACCCCGGAGAAAAATCCATATATGCCTCTTCTTCCAAGTGTCCATGAAGAAAAGCATTTTTCACATCAAATTGTTTTAGTGGCCAATTCAAAATTGCAGCTAAAGAAATCAGAACTCGTACTATATTCATCTTCGCTACAAGAGAAAAAGTCTCCTGATAATCAACACCATAAGTTTAAGTATAGAATTTTGCTACTAACCCTGCTTTATACCTGTCTACCGATCCGTCTGCCTTATATTTGATCGTAAAGACCCATTTACACCCAACTGGTTTCTTCCCTTTAGGTAGCTTGGTTATCTCCCATGTATCATTCTTATGTAGTGCCATCATTTCCTCATTTATCACAGCAACCCATTTAGGATTCTTCAAGGCCTCCTCAACTAGGGTTGGTGCTTGGATTGCTTCCACATTGTTTACCCAAGCTTGACGTTCTGGTGCAAGGTTTGAGCATGACATATAATTAGCTATTGGATACTTCACTTTTCCTTCAGGAGAAAACCTGTCAGGAAGAACACCACGATTTTGCCTTGGCAGTAACTTATATGTACTCATAACATTATCTGTATTAGTTACATGAGCATCAGTAGTACTTACCTCAGGAATATTCAGAGAAGGCATATTGGGTGGCACTATTAAGCTTGAGAGAGAGAGGGTTGTGGGTTCGATAGCTAATGGTTGCTGGAGTGGTGAAACTGGTTCGACAGCTCCCTGCTAACACTCTACATCACACTCAGCAGCACATTGCCAAGAAGACTCAACTGGTTCGGTGCTACTTGACTGAATGATACTCGCATTCTCGTCAGTGTCTTGCCGAGATTCATTGTCTTCATTCTCGGTAGTGTCTTGCCGAGAGCTTTCACAACTTTTTTTGTCAATACATACTCCCTATGAGCCACATATTTCCAACCACCCAAGATCACCACTCATATTCTCCCCCAGATGATCAGAAGGTAACGGAGTCGAAGCATAAAAGAACTTGGATTCGGAAAAGGTAACATTCATAGTTACATACATATGACGAGTTTTAGGGTGGTATCACTTATACGCTTTCTGTTGAGGAGCAAATCCCAGAAAAACACACTGGTGAGCACATGAATCGAGCTTACTACGATGAATGTTGTGAATATGAACATAGGCTACACACCCAAATACATGAGGAGAAAGAGTATTAGTTGACACTACTGGAACAAACTCTGTCAATAAATGGAGAGGTCACATACACGACATAGGAGACAACTTCAGGCTAGAACCGTTTAGTTACAAATGCACCAATGAGCAAAGCACGAGCAGTTTCCAAGATATGACGGTTCTTTCTTTCAGCAACCCATTTTGTTGTGGGGTATGAGGATAAGTAGTCTCATGTAGAATTCCTTGATCCCGAAGAAAGCCGGACAACTCAGAACCGATATACTCACCTCCATTATTAGAGCGGAGAACCTTAATAATAGAGGAATATTGTGTTGCATCCATTTGAGAGAATGATCGAAACACCATACCCACATCACTGGTATTCTTCATCACATATATCCAAGTCATATGAGTGAAATCATCAACGAAGGTAAAAAATCATTTAATTCCAGAAAAAGTACTAACAGGAGAAGGACCCCAAACATCAGAGTGCACAAGTTCAAAAGGAAACAATCTTTTATTCATACTAGGAGGAAACGAAACGCGATGATTCTTCGTGAGAATACATACCTCACAATGTATGTCTAATTCTTTTATTTCATGAAATAAACTAGGCAACATACGCCTCAAATAACCAAACAAAGCATGTCCTAACTGAAGATGCAATAACCAAACTTCCTGTAAACTATTGGTATAGGATGCTCGAACTGCATTAGCTCTGCCAGGAACGTCATCCACATAATATAACCCCTCTCTCTTAGAGCCACGTCCAATTATCTCCTTGGTGTGAATATCCTGAAGCAAACAAAACATTGGATACATAAGTACAACACAATCTAATTGCTCTGTAACTTGAGGAATAGATAACAAATTATAAGACAACAAGGGAACAAGCAGGCAGTGATGAAGGGGAAGGGCCGGCGTGAGGTTCACAGTGCGGCCCCCAAAACCGGTGTTGTTGTTCCATTAGCAGTTGCCATACACTTCTGTGAACTGGTTGTCATACTGGTAAATAAATTCTTATCAAAAGTCATATGATCGGCTGCACCCGAGTCTAGAATTCATCCTGTATAATGTTCCATATCAGAGGTTAAAAGAACACGCCCCATACTATCTCGAGTGGCCGAAGGATCACTTTGAATAACCACCAGATTGACGACTGACCCATGGGTGGAGCCAGACGCCACACCTTCCAACTTCAAACCAATCTCTCCTTGGTTACCTGCCATTGATCATGACCACACAATACACACACGCACGCAGCAAGTAGTCAGTTTCTCTGCAATGATGCAGCGAAGAACCAGAAAAACCTGCCGCTTTTTTTTCCCCTTACGTAAGCAACAGCACACACACAGAAGCAGTTGCATGACACACTCATAGAGGCAGCAGCATGGCAGTCTAGACTTGCTGCAAAAACGCAGCAGAGATCACAGACGTGCGAGGGGTTTTCTCGGGGTTTTCTTGCTTTTACTGTAGCAACAGCACGGTGGGAATTTTTTTAGGGTTGCGCTTGGCTTTGATGACAAATTGAAATTTACGGCTCAAATTTTCATGTACCCCATATTCTGAATAAATAGTACATACAATCCTTGTTACAAAAAGAAACAAAGTAAAGGACACAATATCCTTCCTAAAACATGACTCTAATAATTACAAGAAATTTACATTCCTTTTCTTCCAAATATTGACTTATTCCGATACATCTTACATGTCTTCGAGAATTGCACTTACTATGTGGTTCTGATAAGCAGATTATGTGGTGCATGCATTAAAAACACGCCGAAACGAACACCATACCAGCAAAGCAAAGGCCAACAGAACAGAGCGATGAAACAGCGATATCAATTAGGCAGGCAAAGCTAAGGAACAGCTGCAAACCACAGCATCAATCCAGCGAATCCAAGACGGGGCCTTTCTCTAGAGCACAAGGAATTGAATTTGCACAACGGAACAAAAACAGTTGGTTCATTAATGTTTCATTAATGTCCAATTTGCAGAACGGAACAAAAACAGGATCCATCCCTTCTTGTTTCATTAATGTCCAAGTTAGTTGTGTGTCATCCAAAACCAGGACAAGCAAGGGGTTTCAGAAATAACAAGATTAGAATATTCCAAGTATATAGTGAATACAACTAACATTAGAATGACGGCAGATGGAACGTTCTTGTTCAAAGACATACATGACATACGTACATACAGACCGACTAAAGAGTGCTCAAACCCAACGAAAATACGAAGGACTGCAACATTCCAAGACAAGACTAGATATAATCAACCAACAGCAGCAGCATCCCAATCCTGAGCATCAGCAAGATCAGGAGGTGAGAGGACCTACAGGAGGGGCCTTCCGAAGGGAGTTTCTTTGTGCAATGATTTGGCTTTTATGCGGGCAGTCATCGTTCTGATGGTCAGCATTGATATGACAATAACCACATACCATCCTAACAGCATGCCTCTCACCACGGAAGGTAACTATTTCATAGCCCTTGCCAACCTCAGTTACATTGTTTGGAACACGTGTCATGTAGGGGCAACTATCATTCAAGTGGCCAACCACTCCGCAAACTTTACAAGGGATTGTGAATTTGAAAGGTCTAGTAAATACGACTGCGCTGTGCATTTTCCTCTCTTCTGGTTTTGGAGTAGTAGTATTCTCCTCGTTAAGTTGGAGTTGAGCCATACCCTCTCGAACAACATTTTCATTTTTGAGTTGAGTTGGAGAGTCTTTAACGGCCATTTTCTTCATATCTGTGTGTTTGAGGAAATGTAGATAGAGATACATTTTTCAGAAGATGTAGATAGAGATATGAATACATATATACAAGTATTGTGTGTGAATCAGCTAAGTAAGTCATCTGTAGTCAGGCCGGGCACTATATTGCTCTGTATTCTCCAGCTCATTAGATCATCAAATACTTACTGCTAATGCTTCATGCTAAATTATGTTCCACTGTATCTGGGCCGTATAATTTGTTAGGATAACCTAAATATGTGTGTGTGTGTGTGTGTGTGTGTGTGTGTGTGTGTGTGTGTGTGTGTGTATGTGTATATATATATAGCTACTTGAAAGTCCTACGTAAAGTAGGATAACCTTAATTCTACACAGGTAAAGTAACGGGGCAAATCAAACAGAATTGCGAAGGTACTTAATTGATTGTGAAACCCAAATCTTGTATGGCTACAAAATTTGGTTTAAAATTCTACTCAGTAACCAGGAAAATTAAACAAAATTGAGAAACCTAATTGATCCTGACATGAATCCCGAGAGCTATTAATAATTAAATGAAACAAAAAAAATAATACATGGGAATTATTATGAACACAAAAAATTAGGCATCACGTCAATTAAATTCAAGGACCGTAACCCTAAAAACATATGCAGATGGAAAACAGAGCCCAATTAATTAAGCTGCAAATTCGGAATCACAAATAGTCTTCTTCTTCCTCAGAGACCCTAAAAACAAACACAAACAAAATTGAAAAGCATAGCAAGAGATAGGAGTCCGGATCTCACCTCGGAGTTTCTTCGGTTCGGCGAGGGACTTGAAATTGGACCTGGTGACTTCGAGTAGGCGGTCCTCCATGGTTTTGATTGAGAGAGAGCGAGAGAGGCGAACGAATTTGGGGCTTCCGGATTCTGATCCTGGTCCGGCTACTCGGCGGCTCATGGTTTTGTCTGAGAGACAGAGAGAGAGAGAGAGAGAGAGAGATTTTATTGGGACGAAAAGAGAGAGATTGCATGAATTAAGTTTGAGGATTTAATTTTGGCGGGGGCTAGTTTAGTTTAAGTGGTATATATATACACCATATTTTCCTGCGATTTGACCATAATACCCTTCACGTTCAACCAATTTACCGTTGTGTCGTGGGTTAAAGTCGGCGCACTTGGTATGTCCTAAAAACAGTTTGATTTGATTATCAACAAACTAATCCAACAAGATATGTTTTGCTCAGTTCTTAAACGTCTCAACTCTCAATTCTATTCATTTCTGCCATCCAACGACTTGATCTTTACATTTCTGCTTCGATATGAAGCAGTATACGAAACCACTCCAGCTTTATTCGGAAAGCTTTTAAGGAACACGATCTTAGGCAAGCAAGGCTTAGCGAAAATTCTCTCTTATTTTTCTAGTACAAAATTGTCCTACTCCATGATGTGTCACACTGCGTGACGTGAGTGGACAATTGATTCACACGACGTTCAAAATATGCATAGTTTGTTTTAAGGATCCTCCTAATTTCATTCAGGACCTTTTTGTCCAAGATATGATGTAACTATTATGAGTTTCAATAATATATCGGTGTTTCTTGAAGAAAAAAAAATTGTGATGAAATGCATATTGAAATATTTATAGAATCAAAATATGATTAATATAAATTTCATATAAAGTATTTATAGAGTTAGTTTGAGATTGTTGCGGGTTTAAAAAAGTTGCTATTATTATTTTTAGAACTAAACACAAGTACTTCATTATTTTTTAAACTAAACACTAACTATTTGTGAAACTAAATACGGGTACCACATTATTTATGAAACTGAATACTGGTACTATCACTATTTCTTAAATCAAATGCTAACTATTTCTGAAACTGAACATGGGTACTCCATTATGAAATTAAACACAATATTACACTATTTATGAAATTGGACATGAATAATACACTATTTATAAAACTAAACACTGGTAATATCACTATTTCTTAAACTGAATACTGACTATATTTCAAACTGAACACAAGTGTTACATTATTTCTGAAACTGAACACGGGTGTTACACTACTTCTAAAACTAAACATGGATGTTACACTATTTATGAAAATGAACACTGATACTATCACTATTTCTTAAACTTAACGCTAACTTCTGAAACTAAATATGAATACTGCAGTATTTCTAAAACTGACAAAGACATGAACAGACACCTAACTAGCGATTCGAATACAAATTTCCACATACTTCCAAGATGGCTTGGGTAGACTCAATATATAATTAATTACTAATTATAATAGCATCAGCAAAACCTTGTTTATAAGTTGTCATAACACTCACCAAATAAACTCATACTTTTCAACTTGTTTTTCTCAAAAGACTAAATGATAATTAGTTTCAAGTGTGGACCATCTTCATATGGGTTTTGGTTAAAAGATGTGCTAACAAATTACAAATTACTAATTACTAATTTGTTAGGATAACCTAAATATTTATAAATAGCTACATGAAAGTCGTACATAAAGTAGGAAATTTGTTGAGAATTAATTCTACACAAGTGATCGGGCAAATCAAACAGAATTGCGATCAGGGGCTGACGCACATTGGGATCAAGGTGGTTCTAAGATCATTCGGCGTCTAGGGAAATATAAATGTGAAGGTCATCCGAGAAGACTTCGAATGTTTTGTACATGCGCCCACCAAGTGTTTGTTGTAATGCTGGTATGCATATCTCGATAGTTTGCGTTGACTACACTTGACAGTGTCTCTCGATCACTAGTTAGTGACTAAACTAAATTTTGTTTGCCCGTTTCGCATTGCTTTTATCTAAAAACCTTCAACGTTTAACTTTGTGAACCCCAAGAGTTCGAATACTGGATCCACTACTGATTGTGAATATACTTAATTGATTGTGAAAAGACAATCTTGCTTAGCTACAAAATTTGGTTTAAAATTCTACTCAGTAGCCAGGCAAATTAAACAAAATTGCGATACCTAATTGAATGTGATATGAATCCCTAGAGCTATTAATAATTAAATGAAACAAAAATAATAATAAATGCGAATTATTATGTACACACAAAAATTTGGCATCACGTTAATCAAATTCAAGCACAGTAACCCTAAAAACATATGCATCGAATTAACTGAGCTGCAAATTCGAAATTAGAGATGATCTTCTTCCTCCTCACAAACCCTAAAACCAAAACCAACATGCAAAAAAGTATACCAAGAAAAGAGGGAGGAGTCCGGATCTCACCTCGGAGTTTCATCGGTTTTGGTGGATTCTTCATTCGCCCGGATTCTGATCCTGGTCCGGCTGCTCGGCGGCTCATGGTTTTGCCTCTGAGAGATTTTTTTGGGACGAAGAGAGACAGAGAGAGAGATTGCACGAGTTGGGTTTGGGGATTTTGGCGGGGACTAGTTTAGTTAAATTAGTTTAGGTCTCATATATAGTACACTGTTTCCTGTGAATTGACCATAATACCCTTCACATTTAACCTATTTACTGCCGTCTTGTTGGTTAGAGACGGCGTACTGTGTGTCCTAAAAACTGCATGATTTGATTTCAATCAACAAACTAAAATTCAACACGATATATTTTGCTCGGTTCTTAAACGTCTCAACTCTTTGTCCTACAAATTTCAAGCCTGCCATCAAACAACTTGATTTTTACAGTTCCGTTTCGATACGAGGCAGCATAGGACGCCACTCCTCGTTCTCACGCTTCAGAACCACGGCGTTCCTTCAGAAATGGAGAAAAACTAAAGAAAATACCTTTTCATCATTAGCGATATCCAAAAACAGCACCAGATACGCACGCACACACTACTAATTATAATTATATTATCTTGAACAAGTTTTCTAACACGGGAAAGGCATACAACCTAGCCTTCCACAGTAAGTTATAGCCCTCTGTTATGCGGGCAATCAATTCTTCTTCGGTTTACAACATACAAATCCGGGAGGGAGCTTCTAGAATTAGTAGATATAGTTTGTCATCGTCATTCAAAACTCCAAAGCCGCTTCTCCATGTTCAAGTAGTCACCAGGTGAGGACCAGATCGAGGGAGCACGCATGAGTATGTGACATATTTCACGCTGTCTAACAGCACTACAACGAAAATTCGAGAAAGTGACTTCGGCTTGATCATGCCATCCACGTCAATATCGCCAGCCTCTCGAGGATCAACGAGAACAGAGACAACCATGGGAGAAACCGATCTATTACCAGGAAGGGTGTTGTTCTGTTGATTTCCCGTCACATTTTCTTCAGTTACGTTATGACCGGATCCAGGAAGGGGAATTGGGAGACCACGGAGGATCCTTCTATTCCTTCCCCTGTTCAGCTCTGTAGTATTCTGATGGTGTTCAGAAGCATTGGAAACTGAAGATGCAGGTACTATACCTCCTGAAGAGGTAGCAGCTGAGACGTCGAACTGGAACACTTCAGTGCACATTCCAGAGCTCAACATTGGTCCTGCAGAATATTTAAGAAATCAATAACGAAGTTCGCAACGAAGTGTTTGATATGAGCACCAACAAATGAAGTACAATGACAGAAGGAATTAGAACAAACATACTAGGAAACGAGAAAAGACACGGATACAAGGTCATACATAAAAGCATCCTGCAGTTTACCATATAAAATCTTCCAGACCATCTGTAAAAAAACACGCAGTACATACTCCAAGCTATGAAACTACGACATTATTCATTTAATATACTTTACTTAACCATTGACCCGAAAAATAAAAACTTTTGCAACTTCAAAATTATTGTTCTGAGACCGACCGTGTGATCTCAAAACCGGGAAAAAAGATCATACGAGAAGCTGTGATCCCAATACAAGCACATGTATCGTGAAATATTAAAGAGAAGGAAAACAAAATAGTTGGAGAAAAATGTAATTTTATTATAATCATACCACCATGTAGAATATGAGTAATAAAACAAATACTTTTTTCTTAAGGAAGATAAAACAAATAATTTAAGTCTTCTTTTGAGGACAAACTGGAACTTGTCAAACTGACATGCTGGACAACTTCACTTCAAAGCTAAGATGGCCAAAGCAGCCACCCACGACAACTAATCATTCAAATCAAACAGAAAGATTAAATTAATTGACGATATTTTTTTAATTTAAAAAATCTAAAAGCTTACAGACCTGAATTTGAATTCAACAACAAAATTTTGAGGCTGTATGGAAAAGGCTACCATGCCTCAAATCTTTTATTTTATTTTTTTTTGGGTCAAAACTACACCTCAATCTAATTGACAAGATCCCTTTGTATGACAAAAACCAAAGAAGAAAAAGACATGATGCAAATGAAATTTATTACTAGGTGTCGGCTAGGGAACTTATTACCTATCTGTGACATCTCAATCTGGGTTGTACGTAGTTTTATTCTAGAGCCTTACTGTAGATATGGACCTTACCAGATGATGGCTAGGGAGCGATTCACCTATCTGTAAGATATCAATCTGAGAGTGTAAGTAGGCTTGTGCCTGGAGTACTACTAATAATATACACATTGACCTTACTCTATTTTCGACATCCACATTTTCTAAGATTCAGAATAGAGGCAAGGATGAATAACCTATCAGACATACCTCCAAGTATAGTTAAAGCTCAAATCTAAGTTACTAAATGTTGACCTACAACCCAAACAAGGATACTATTATTGCTCCACAAACCAACTTCTTAAAAAGTAGCTGTAACTGGAAAATGGATCCAGACCTCATCACATATGTACAAATAAAACACTAACCCTGGCTCATAGCAACTTTTTCAAAACAGCCAGGCACAAGATGTAAGCTTACCTATGTTATCGATCATAGCAACTAGCTCATAGCCTCACACACTTTTTATACATATTGCAAACAAAGTCAGCTTTACTAATACAAAATAAAAGGTTCATTTTACGAATTATCAACCCAAAGTAATATTTCCTTGCTAGCATGATTGCAAACTCAGCTACACAACTATTAGCCCTCATCACTGATGAAAAAAAAACCGACTTAACTTCTTGATATAATAAAAATGCACGTCAACTAGTCATGAAAGCAAACCAACCATAAAAGTGTTAGGCATGCACTTAGTGTACACATATAAAGAGGTTAATGTACATGAGAAACCAGATGAAATGTTATTACCTGCAAGACCTTCACGGAACCACTGTTGCAGTTTACCATCAGCTGTAGTTGACTTCATATGATCTTTTGGAACATCAGTTGATCCAGCTGTAAGAGCCTTGTGTGGTCCAGCAGAATTTCTGTATAAGGGAGCATGAATCCCTCTGTTCCCTCCCGGTTTAGGAATAGCTAATGCTGAAACCAAATCTTTAGCCACAGCCAAACCAGGCTCTTTACTATTCTTCCTTTCAAAAGGCCCACGAGAAGCCATAGCTTTCTCACTGGCCAGGACCGAATGTATAATCAAGTTTCCATCAATCTTGACAAGCTTATCATTTCTTGGAACATACAAAGAAGCAACAAGTGGCTCACTACTAGTATTTTGCAGACGAGCAAATTCATCAGAACCCGGTGTAGGTCGTGACCCTTGCTCTTTCGGCCCATTCCTTGTATGATGACCCTTCTCAGGACGAATTTTGTTAGAGATATCGAATTTCCCATCAGATATTCCCGAACCTATAATTTCTTCAGATCCGTTAAAATAACCATGAACATTCAAAAGCCTCCCTCTGTTTTGACCATTAAACCTATCACTAACATAAGAAGACCCACCAAAACCTCTGTCCATTACACCACTAAAGTTAACATTCACCATAGGAACAAGCCCACCAAAAAGCAAGATAAAAAACAACAGACCCAGAAAACTAATGCTAGCAACCTTCTTAGTTCTACCCTCACTCTTCTTACTGTCCGACTTTTTGGACTTGGGCGCAGCCGCTGGCTGCTGGGATTTCAATCTAGGAATGGGTACCAAAAGGGACTGGGACCCTTGTGGGTTCACAACATAGGGCGAATATGGCATCCATGGATAAGCCATCGGTGGCATGGGAGGATGCGGGTGCATCCCTAAATGTGATGGCGGTGGCGGAGTGCTCAATTGCTGCTTCAAAGTAGCATTCTCGGCCATAACATAAGAAATCCTATTGTTCAAATCAGCAATAGTTGAATGCATAGCCCTCACCTTGTCCTCAAGCTCCTCCACATAATGCTTTTTCCTCTGCCTAGAAAGCTGAGCACTTTCTCTGTTCCGTATCAATCTCGCCTTCCTCTTCTCGTCCTCGTCATTCGCACTCGCACTCACATTCACAGAGGCGGCATTGTTGTTGTTGTTGTTGTTGTTTTCCGACCTCCGATATTTGGCACTTCGCGACTCGGCGTTGCCTTCGTCGATCTCTTTCTTCCTTTTCACAAGGTAATTTTTCGCCAATTCGTCCTCCACCTTAACCTTCTCATCATCCGAATTGCCCGAATGTGAATTCGAGTCCACCGCCTCGGAAATCCCAGAGCCCTGAGACGACGCAGGCCCACCGGAATTCTCCGAACACTCATTTGACGAGGCCGGACAATTCAGAAACCTGGAAATGTCCAAAGCCCCCTTATCATCGCCGGAAACCGAAATCGCGGAGCTACCCGATTCAGGAGACCCCGAATCCAACGCAGCCGCGCCGGGATCTAAGCCGTCGGGGACGAGGAAGTCCTCGGCTTCCGACGGGAGGTAGAGGTCGTCCAAGTCGTCGAAGGTGAGCTCGAACTCGCAATTTCCATCATCACCGAACCCAAAGCCGAGATCGGACATGAATGGATCGTCGGAGGGCACAGCGGCGGCGGCCATGCCGTTGTCCGATGAGAAAAATTCAGGGTCAAGAGGAGGGATCCCGAGGGACTCCATCTCGGAATTGAATTTGAAATCGGTATGATCCGGATGATTAGTCGAATTGTGGCCGGAGTGCGGTTCCGCCGGCAGTGCCATGTTAGGGTTTTCAGAGAGGTTTCTCTGAAAATTTAGAGAGAGAAATAGAGAGAGAGGTGGGAGACGAGGACGAAGACTAATTCTAAAAATTTAGGACGACGAAGAGTCTTTTGATTTGGCTTAAACCATTTCGGACGAAAAGCGGAAAGAAATGAGGGGGTTTTAATTTTTAGAATTAAACCCCAACGACTTTAAGTTTTTATTATTTAATGGAATTTTTCAGATTTGGCTACCAATTTACTTTTCAGATATGCATATCAAATTACTTTTCAGATTTCGTTACTAAATTAAAGGTTTTTTTTTTTAACAAAAGATATTATCTAAATTACGAAAAAAAATAAAATTAATCTCACAATGGATTAGCAATAATGTGGTTTAAATTTGCATTTGACAAAAATTGAATTCTAAAACTTCTTACTTACAAGTGAAAAAAAATCACTAGAAAAGGTATATTTTGATTCGCCTCTTTCTCAAGTAGTGT